AGGCAAAGCATTCATACACATAAGACACAATAAGCCTAAATTATTTTTGAAGCCCACAGTCTGTCAGTACCCTTGCATGAGTGCATGTTTATTGGCGTGTGGTTCATCCATGACTTTGTGTGCACAGCTGCCTGTGTCCATTTTCATGGAGGCCACAAGAGGTTATCCACTATCCTGCTGCACTGTAACAGCCTTCTTCCATTCAGTTAGGATCTCTCACTGAAGCTAAAGGTAGGCTAGCAAGCATCAAGTCACAGCTGTACTGTCTCTAGTGCAGATAGACAGACACACACACACACATGCGTGTGCTCGCGTCTGGTCTCTTACGTGTGTCTTACAGATTCTGACTCAGGTATCACTGCTTGCACACCAAGCAGTTCTTTTGTCAAGACATTATCTGCCTAGTGCATGATGATGTCATATCGTTCTAGTGTTAAGCACTAGGTGTGCGTAAATAGAGAAGTATTTTGATTTTTGTATATGTTTTATGGGATTATTAAATGGATCATTATCTATTTATAAAAAATGTTTCCAGACACTATAATCTTTTGAGGACATGTAGTATACTTTTGAGTCTTTGGATTATTTTTTGGTTTTTCTTTCTTCTTTGCTTTTGTTTTTTGAGACAGGTGCCATGGTAACCCAAGATCCCATGTGTTGCCAGGCACAGAAATCAGAGTCAGCATGGTACTCAAGAGACAGGAGAAGGGCATGTGTAAGGTCTCCTCATAAGGAAGGATGAAGAGTGTGGGGTAGACGTAGAGTCCTGGATCTCCATGGAGCACATCTGTTAGCAGAAGTCCCCGAGTTTACAGTGAAGACAAAATGCATCCAACTTACATACACGGTTTATAAAAGGTGGTTCAAAGCCAGCAGGACAATGAGACTGCAGGAGAAGCAGATCTGCTTGTGAAGAGCTAAGGCCTTGCCCCTACTGAAGAAACTTGGAGGAAATGAACTTCTTATCCACAGTTAAACATACAAGTACACTAAAGCAACAAAAGATAGATACAGACAATGTCCAGATAGGTACCAGGAGGGCTGAAATCATGTCCCCAGGCTTTAGTATATGGGTAGGAGTTCATGGGAACTCCTAGGCCCTCTAATCTTATAGCTTGAACCTACAATGGATTAAAAAGGATCAAAGCTGGGGCAAAGTCAAGGTTTCTCCTCATCCACTAGATCAATGGTTGCAAGACAGATGAAAGCTCTCTAATCTCCATTCCCTCAATTATCTTGCATACTAACCAGTTCAGGGTGAGGAGAAGAGAATTCAAATGAGTTAAACTCATGTTTGACTTTTCCAAGGACTGAGGTCAGACTAAAAAGCTTTTCTGCAAGTTTAATCTGCATTTTCTGGTGTCCTTTAAAACAGGTCTAAACACTGAAGAGAGGACCACGAAGATGTGAATGCAAGCTCCAAAGCAATAGAGGGAGAGGATCTGATTCTCCTGCAGCTTTGAGCCAACACTAGGAGACTTTCATATCCAGGATCATATGTATGAACACACATGCACACAGAAGAGAATTGCCTTAAGCAGAGAAATGGGTTCTACTGTGTGTGTTCATACATATGATCCTGGATATGAAAGTCACCTAGTGTTGGCTCGATGGTTGTTGATGACTTTCATTCTATATTTAACAATGGTACTTACAGCTCATAGAGAACATACGGTATCCTTAGATGAGTTGAGAAGAACAGTGTGCAGCCCCCACTTTCCATCTTTAGGTACCATATTAGTTATATTCCTGTCACTGTAACCAAACTTCTGACAAGCGTCCTGAGAGACATGTTCTCTACCTTCCAATAACTACTCAAAATTGGAGTTTGTTCCAAAACAAGTAGAGAGCACTGGCTTAGTACAAATACGACATCTTTCTCCTGCATCTACAACCCGTCATATCCCTCCTAGTGATTAATTTTGATCACCCAGCAACCACACTGAGAGATTATAGATTCTTGCATAGCCCTTAGAAATACTCAGACCCCAAATCATTCTAAAACATGTTATCGAATGATGGTTTGACAAAAATGAAACTTCTCTTCAACTGGCCGAATCTTTAGGTCTTCAACATGAGCAGATAAGAAAAGCAGTTTGGCATTTAAGTGATATGTATGCACGAGTTTTTCTAGATGACAAATATCCTCAGACAGTATATGGACAATGCAGATAAAAGTGGGCAGAGTTTATATTAGCACTAAGTGTGTACCATACCCACTCTACTTTGACTCATTAATGTTACTCCTTTTTCGTGCCACAGGCTCTATAGGGGCAACTGAGCCCAGCTGACTTCCCTATATGTTTTTTTTAACTTCCAGAAACACCTTGAATGCAAGATTCCTTAGTATGAAAGGATACGTTTAAATTTATGATTATCTCCACTCCAGCTCTGAAGAACTGTATTTACAGAGGTGTGTTACCATGGGCACATACACAGTTGTTGGGATCAAATCCAGGGCTTTGCACATGCTAGGAACACACTAAACCAACTGGTCTATACATTCCTGCTCACATAGACCCTCTCTGACAAATCCTGACTGTGAGGGTACTCAAACACAGCCACCATCTTCAAAATGATGATACCCAGCCATACTCTGCCTGAGTAACTCACTACTGCACATATCGTTCCAATGAGTGCTCAGACTTAGCAGACATCATGGAGACTGGTGAGTCATAGCAGTAATATTGGAATACAAACTCCAGCATATATATATATATATATATATATATATATATATATATGCATGTATGTATCCAAAATAAAGGCCCAGTGAAGCTCAAAAGTCACTAGGTGTCTGGAGTTCTTAGTGGACTTTGCCCATAAATTGTATGGCTCTTATGTTAATGTTGTCTAATCTGTTAAGCCTTTCCACCGGTTCATACTGGAACGGGTTGTCTCTACCATAAATCCAGTTATCACATATATCCAACCTATTTTTCAATGTAATGTCTCATATAGTCAATCTCTCTGATCTGACCAAACTTATGGATTTTCCATCTATAGTACTTGTGAGCATTCACAGGCAGGTAAAGAGCAATGCCCTTGCCTTCTGCCCACTGTGGGGCTCAACATCGTCTGGCATCTCCCTAGGGCTGGATTATTGCGGGCAGATGCTGGGCACCTGTAACTCTCACATAGGGATTCTTGAGCTCTTGATGAAGTAGGAAGTGCTTCCTGATCTCTATAACTACGAAGACTGATTACCTTACATTTGGTCTAAGATTCTTCAGAAAGCTGCACAAGAAAACACATCTGTCACACATCTGTATGGTGAGGTTTGAACACTTTTTTTGTAGGTAAAACTTGATCTGGTGGGGCTGGGGAGGGGGAGTTCTGGCAGTGGTACCAGAACTTATCCTAGGAGCATGAACTGGATTTTTCGAGCCCGCTCCTTAAGATGGGACACCTTGTTTATCCTTGATACAGTGGGGAGAGGCTTGATCCTGCCTTAACTTGGTATGCCAGACTTTGTTTACTCCTCCAAGGAAGGCCTACTCTATCTGAGGAGTGGATGGAGAGAAGGGAACTGGGATTGATATATAAAATGGAAAATAAATTAAAAATATATATCTTGCCTTTTGAATTGAAAAATTTGTCACTGGAAAGTGGATTGTATTATAAGGATAACTGTTTTGGAAAACAATCTTTTTAGACACTGCCTGCACAAAAATGCCAAAATAACTAAAGTTATCAGAGCTGAATGTAATGACTGCAGACACATAGGTATTACTGGCTACTTAGGGCATTGCTTTTTCCTCTTAAACTTTTAATTTTCACTCCCAATTGGAGTCTAATATCACATTGGTTTACCGTAGAAAATACAGTGAGCATTTAAATAATTCTTATCTAACATGTGTCTTGAAAGAGATTCCATAATACATACTATCTGTGAGGTTTCCACACTCCACCTGTAATTGAAAGGAAAGAACACACTTCGAGGTTCAGGTCATATACAGTCTGTTTGTACAGCTTTTTTTTTGCTGTGTAAAGCAGGATAGGAAAAAGACATAAAACAAACTGCATTGATACATTGTATGGTAATGTCACAGAAAACCAGGGCTGTGTGTTTTGTGACAAAACTAATACATTGCACACATACACTGACTCAAAGTGAGAGCAGAGCCTCTCTTCTGCTTGGCCTCCACTGAGGGCTCCCTAAGCTACATCGCAATATGGCACACCACCTTAACAACCTGTTTTGTGAGATTAATTCCCTCTTTGAGACAACATCTAATTATTTGCACGAATGCACATATTTAATAATATTATACCCCCAATGTTCAAATATTGGCTGTATGAAGCTTCCAACCACACAGACTTTTGGGGAACAATTAAAACTCCATCTAGATGATAGGCTGGGGAAACAAATAGGAGAGGACCCTTAAGGAAAAACACACACTTTTATACATGATATGCTCCTCCTAAACTAACTCTCAAATTCCCATGATGCCCTGCTCAGTTTTGCTGTTCAGTGGGATATCCTATCTACTGAAACATAGATCACCAAAGTGACCTTTCTATCTTAGAAAACAAAGGGCCCCTTACCTCCATTTCTTGCTCTGGTGGTTTCTGCTCCTTTGATAAAGACACACTGTCATCATGTTCAGGTATTTCTAGGGGGACAGAGAGTGACTGTCAGCTCATGGTACTGCTTATTGCTTATGCAGCATCCTTGCTTGATGTGGGTAAAAGTGCATGGACTTAGTACATGTGACTAGATCTAATGGACAGGATGATGGGGTGGCTGCTGAAGGGTCTTCCCTAGAAGGGAAATTAAACCATAGAAAGACCTGGAGAGACAGGAGTAACAGAACATTTACAGACAAGGGGACCCAAAGCAACATGAAATAATCTACCTAATTGAAGATTAAATACAAATCTTCACACGTATTCTCTTTGGAGGCACCACTGATAATGCCTCAGTTTGCATACGAAGGTCAGAGGACAAACTGTGAGATTCCAAATAGTACGTGTACAAGACAACTCCTATACCTAAGACTCAGGAACATTTTGGTAGAGATGTGGAAAGAGTATAAGAACCAGAGGGACAGGATATATGCTGCTAGATAGTTTCTTCAAGACATAGCAGGGGTGATATAGTGAGTGAAATCTCACTATAGTTCCCCAAATAGGACCTGCATCATGACAGCCCCTATGATATGCTACCATAGACCAAGAGCTACAGGCAATAAATGGTTGTAGAGAGAGGGAGAATGCATTTTCTCCAGGGGTAAACCTCCTCATAAGTTATCTAATCCCAAACTGATAGCACTAAACACTCAAATACATACATAGGCATAAGCAACATTAAATGGACCCATCTGTTTATAATAGTTATCACAGAAGACAGCACATATTTGAAGGGTGGACATGGGATGAGTTGGACTGAGAAAGAAGGTCAGGATAGAATGATGTAAACATAGTAGTCACACTGAATTCTCAAACAATTAAAATATAAATTAAAACAACTCTACTTTTTCATTTCTGTGCCTTACTTCCTTCAGTCAAGGTCCTTCACTGAACCTGGACCCTGACTGGCAGCCAGCAAGACACAGAATCCTCCTTTCTCTGTGTCCCTGTCTATGCTGAGGCCATGGGTGTGCACAGAATTCCCTGACATTGTTGTGTGCACTGGAAATTCAAAGCAAGAAACTGGTGCATGAACAGCAAGTATTCTTACCCATTGATCTATCTCCCTGTAGTTAACTTTACAGCCAAACTCTTTTACGAGGTTACTATTACCTTGGTACCCAAATCATACAAAGACACAAGTAAGAAAGAGAACTACAGACCAATCTCCCTCATGAACATTGTTGCAAAAATCCTCAATAAAGAGCCGGGCGTTGGTCGCGCACGCCTTTAATCCCAGCACTGGGGGGGGGGCAGAGGCAGGAGGATCTCTGTGAGTTTGAGGCCGGGCTGGACCAACAGCCTCCAAAACAATACAGAGAAACCCTGTCTCGAAAAACCAAAAAAAAAATCCTCAATAAAATACTAACAAATCAAATCCAAGAACACATCAGAAAAATCATCCACCATTGTCAAGTAGGCTTCAACCCAGCGATACAGGGATGGTACAAAATACGAAAATCCATCAATGTAATCCACTATATAAACAAACTGAAAAAGAAAAACCAAATGATCAGCTCACTAGATTCTGAAAAAGCCTTTGACAAAACACCCCCTTCATGATAAAGGTCTTGGAGAGACCAGGGATAACAGGAACATACCTAAGCACGATAAAGGCAATATACAGCAAGTCAACAGCCAAACTAAATGAAGAGAAACTCACAGCGCTGCCTCTAAAACCAGGAACAAGACAAAGCTGTCTACTCTCTTAATACCTCTTTAATATTGTACTTGAAGTTCTAGCTAGAACAATAAGACAACAAAAGGAGATCAACGGGATATAAAAATTGGAAAGGAAGAAGTAAAACTTTCAGTATTTGCAGATGATATGATAGCTTATATAAGTAACCTGAAAAATTCTATTAGTGAACGCCTACAGCTGAAATACACCTTCAGCAAAGTGGGAGGATACAAGATTAACTCAAAAAGAAAATCAGTAGCCCTACTAATATATAGATGATAAACGGGTTGAGAAAGAAATCTGAGAAACATTACCCTTTACAGTAGCCATAAAGAAGATAAAATATCTTGGGGTAACTTTAACCAAACAAGTGAAAGACCTGTATAACAACTTTGAGTTATTAAAGAAAGAAATTACAGAAAATATCAGAAAATAGAACGATCTCCCATGCTCTTGGATAGGTAGGATCAGCATAGTAAAAATAGCAATCTTGCCAAAAGCAATCTACAAATTCAATGCAATCCCCATCAAAATCCCAGCACAATTCTCACAGACCTTGAAAGAACAATACTTAACTTTATATGGAAAAACAAAAATCCCAGGAGTGTCAAAACAACCCTGTACAATAAAGGAACTACCAGAGACATCACCATCCCTGACATCAAGCTCTACTATAGAGCTGTAGTAATAAAAACAGAACTATTCAAAAGTGAATGTTTATGTTCTATTATCCCTCAAAGAGGGAGCATGACACACTTTTTCATATATGTGAATAAAAGGCATACATTTATCACTTCATCACACATAATTTATTTTATGTAAGTACATTGTAAGTGGATCATCTATCTGGGTTTTGGGTGTTTGTGAGCATAGGGTTTTCTGATATTTTTATCATTTCTGTTTTGTGAAATAGATCTGCAAGGCCTTTAAACGAATCACAACTCATACTATGATTATAAGCTATTTACACTTGTTAAGGTCAAGGATATTTGAATTCCTATAGAATACTCAAAAGTACTCTTAGAGGGTTCTACTTTTCCATGCAAAATAAAATTATGTATATGGGAGGCTCCATAGGATATAGGTGGGAGGCCGACATTATAGTAATTGGTGTCAAATCCTCCAGGTGTTTCAAAGGGTCCATCATAGGTCATGACTTTACTTTTCTTCATCAATTTTTCATTTATTTAATTTTTCTCTTACTATGTTCTCCTAACTGATTTTGTACTCAACTCATCTTTCTTTTATCATATTCAAATGCCTCAGGTGTTTAATAGCAGCTTTTCCCTTTACCCACCAGGTAAAGGAATGAGTCAGATAACCTCATAAGATTCAACCAACTTTCTGGAAATGTATTATTCAAGAAGTTTCTGTTCTGCTCTCTTCATTCCTAGTGATCTTGTAACTCCCATTAGCTAAGCAAGGGAGAGAAAATTATATAATTAAAAAAAAACCTGGTATAAGCCAGGTGTTGGTGGCTCACACCTTTAATCCTAGCACTCCGGAGGCAGAGGCAGGCGGATCTCTGTGAGTTCAAGACCAGCCTGGTATACAGAGCTAGTTCCAGGACAGCCTCCAAAACAATACAGAGAAACCCTGTCTCGAAAAAACACACACACACAAAAAACAAAACAAAACAAACAAACAAACCAAAAAACCTGGCATATAGATGCTCAACCTGGGAACTCTCTTGAACAATGTTTCATTGTTACCAGATGGAAAGGATATCTGTACCTTTATACATTAATAAGCACATTGTCATGTTGTAGATTATAGTTAAATATTTGTTGATGCTGTAAAGCGTTTGTTTAATGACACAAAGATGTGTTACATTTTTTTGTGTCGCATTTGTTTAACTCTGTGAAGCTGTGTTACTTTGTCTAATATAGTAACCTGACTTGTCTAATAAAGATGGGAACGGTCAACAGCAAGGCAGGCTAAAGGATTGGCAGGGCTCATAGGCAAAGAGAATAAATAGGAGGAGAAATCTTGGAGGAGAGATTGAGGAGCAAGTGACACAGGGGTGAGGACATGAGGGCCCAGCCACCTCGCCAACACAGCCAGAGTAAGAAGGAAAGAAAAGATATGCAGAAATAGAGAAAGGCAAAAGCTCAGAGGCAAAAGGTAGATGGGACAATTTATGTAAAGCTGGCAAGAAACAAGTCAAGCTAAGGCATAGCATTCATTGAAAGAATAAGTCTCTTTGTGTGTACTGACTTGAGAGCTAGGTGGCCCCCCCTTCCCCCAGAGCCAGAGAACAAAAGAGTAAATAGTGAAAACAACCAACAACAGTGTCTAGAGACAACATGACACTCAGGAGCCCAGAGGAAGTCGTGAGAGAAGGGAGATGGAAGATTACGAAGAAACTGCTCCTAGATCTATGAGGAACTCTTTACTCAGAAGCAATAGCTTCCAAGTTTATAGTGAGGAGTCGCAATGCATTGAAGATAGAAGATAAGGGAGACACAATAACAGGAAGCCAAGCCCTACTGTACAATGAGAGAATGCAGGAAAATCAGACTTGTGAAGATATGGTGAAAGAAAATTACCCCATAGGCTCATGGAGAGTGCCAGTTCTATAAGGTGTAGCCTTGCTGGAGTAGGTATGACATTGCTTGAGGAACAATGTTACTGGGGGTGGGCTTTGAGGTCTCAGATTCTCAAGCCAGCCAGAGTTTGGCAATATCTTTCTGCTTGCTGACTGCTGATCCAGATGTAGAACTCTCAGCTCCTTCCTTAGCACCGTGTTTGTCTGCACACAATCATGCTTCATGCCACAACGACAATGGACTAAACCTCAGAAACTGTTAAGCAAGCCCCAATTAAATGTTTACCTTTATAAGAGTTTCTATGGTCATCTTTTCTCTTCATAGCAATAGAAACTCTAGGACCAAAGTTGGAACCAGGGACTAGGGTATTGCTGTGATAGGTCAGACCATGTTTTTGCCTAGAGGATTATGGAACACTTTGGGATTGAGAACTAGATAAGTAATTGGACACTTTAAGCAGGGTTTAATGGGCCACACTAGTAGGAAAATGGAAGACAGCAGTATTAAGGGTGATTTTAACTGTGGGGACTTGGCTCAAGAGGGTTAGAGTAGAATAATATTAATATGTGGCCTAGAGTTTATTCTTGTGGTGTCTTGATGAAGAATGTGGCTGATTTCTGCTCTAGGCCTCCTCCTCCCACCAAATATGCCTGAGGCTAAATGACAGACTAGTGTGAAATGTGTCATTTAGTTAGTAGTTGCCATGCATATGCAAACTACAATGAAAACTACTATGCTGAGCAAGTAAAGTTACACAATGTACAAACTGTAAAGGAAGAGGACACCAGGAATTGGTATGAAGCTATGCTATGTGTTCAAGAGATAAACGGTTTGAAGAAAATCCATCCTAATGTATATAGACTAAAGGAAATGGTGACCTTAGGGCAACATCCCACCCTGTTAAGGTTCCAAATTGTGAAAAAGAATTAAAGAAAAGCTTAGAGCTGGATGTGGTGGTTTAGGCCATGAATCCCAGCACTCATGGCAAATGCAGGCAGATCTCTTGAGTTTGAGGCCAGTTTGGTCTACAGATTCTGTTTCAGGACAGCCAAATTTAGGCAGGGAAGGAAACCATCAAAACAAAAAAACCTGGTAAGGTGTTATGAAGGGGGCATAATCCAGTCCCTGGTGAGCAGCAGAACTTGGCATTTTTGGCTGCATAGTTCTGACTTAAGTGTCAAGGATAGACTAAGGAAAGTCCTGAGGCTACCTGTGTGTCAGGGGTGTCCCTGCATGCAGGCCTATGAGAGGTCATTGTGTGAAGCTGTAGAGGTGTTGCCTGAATTGCTTTGGAGAACTCAAAATGTTGTAGATGCCAGAGCTGTTGGGTATCTGCCAAAGAGAACTGCTACCCAGGAGTGGAACCAGCCCAAGAGAAAGAAGTATGTTGAAGTTAACAAAGCTGACAGGGATTGGAGATCTGAATAGTACTTTGACATCTGACATGGAGGTGCAGAGTTTAGAGTTTGCCAAACTGATTTTTCAGTCTTTATGCCCTTTTTTAGAATTA